TTCTCCGCAACTGAACAAGTTAGAAACCATTTTGTGATATCTATATGATCGTAAGGGTTCATTGTATTAGTTGATTTGAATCAAATATCAAAATTTTAAACAAATAACAAATATGACTCATTTGAATAAATTACTGGTTTCGAAGGCTATAAATACAATTTTTGCCCAAATTACGTCATTTCCGGTGATATTGAAAATGTTAAATTGGTTTGACCTAGTTAAAATTGACATTACACATCAAATGGTGTCACTTTTATGAAAATCGAATAATAATTGACTCTTTTACAGGCAAACTAGCGTAAAAAGTGACTCATGCAAAATTGCCCATTTCTCGGCAACTGCGCATATTACAAATTAATTTTCACATACATTCTCTCCGTATAGATTATTGCTACGAGTTTATGAAAGTTACGAAGTAATATTTTAAAATATGAAAACGCTGAATGGGTTGTAAATAGCTTAATTTTACACCTTTTTTCACCTTTTAATCGAAATAGCCCGAAAACGGAATCGAAATTAAAAAAAATGGTCCCAACATTTTGTGCGCCTTTAAAGGGCGCACAATTTCAGTTATACCAGATTTGAAAAAAATAATATTTGCTTTCGAAAAATGGTACCTAACTGTCAAAATTGTAGTTTTTTGTCAATTTACGCCACTTCCGGTGCCGACAGATAACACTATTGGTAACAAAAAAAATGACAATTGAGACAACGGGGCATATGAATTTTGTTTTATACAAATCGAACAATAAATAATTAATCTAGGACTGAAAAACTGAATTAGCCAATGGGGGCCAAGGAAAATTACCGAGACAAAAAATTTTCACATTTTTGCCCAAGTCAGAGGACTCGTTATATTTGTGTAAAACACGATTAAAAAATATTCATAAATAAAAAAGTTTTTTGTAAAAATTTAAATTTTCTAAATTTAGCGCCTAATATCTGCGAAGATTTGCCGAAAATCAAAAATCAAAAGTAGCGTAGCTATGTGCCCCGTCTCCGGCTATGCCAAAATGCATCGAAAGTTAAAATCCAATGATTATTGTTAAAATTACTGCAATATTTCTAAAAACGATACCTTCGGTGATTTCGGACATTTCGCATTGTCGCAGAACGTTCAAAATAGCTTTATCCTCTAAGTCACACCCACTTTTCCGATAAAACCGAAGAAATCGTAACGATCCGACAATCAGTTGCTGAGATCTACTCAAAACAAAAGAAGAATAATAATAATAAGAATAATAATTTTAACAAAAACAATAGTGTTTCACACAAGCTTCGCTGTGTGAAACCCTAATAATAATAAGAATAATTTTAACAAAAACAATAGTGTTTCACACAAGCTACGTAGTGTGAAACCCTAATAATTTTAACAAAAACAATAGTGTTTCACACAAGCTACGCAGTGTGAAACCCTAATAATGATATGTTCTTACCCAAGGTAAAATGATGCCAGTTTTGAAGCAAGATCACTTGGTGTTAAATTACTTTATTCTATGCCAGTTTATGACTCTTTGAAGATGTAGCGTCGATTATTCATTATCGCAGAAACGGTGCTTGAAACAGAGACTAAGTCTCGATTATCCACTTTATCGTTGAATTTTTAAATCTCACGGATGTTCGAATCCATTAAAATCTCGACCATCTGATCGTCTAGAGAGTTGATTGTAGGTTTGTCGTGTTAATAAATGTCTAAATAAAGCCAAAATAAAGACCTGCAAAACGTTGATTTAGCTCTTAAATAATGCATCGTTAATACCTGAATAAGTTTCCGGAACATAATGCCGTTTCCAACTGTTGTAAATACCCAATTTACAGTGTTGGAATTTGTTTGCAGAAAACCATGTCAAGGCCGATTTATTGGACCTGGGAAATGAGAACAGAGCTTAGAATCGGTGTTTTGCGCTCCAAAAATAGGTATTTTCTTTGTTTGTCTAATGTCGACCAAAGGATTGGCTGTTATATTGAATGGAAGGGACACCGCCAACGCGAATTTTTTTTTTTTTTTTTTTTGTCACCAGAATTTTCAGAATGAATCAATCATTAACTAAAACGAGTTTTTCACAAAGATGTGTCGATAATATAATAATATGGTCTAATTCTCTGATTTTTGTGCCCGAAAAACGGATAGGTCTATTATACGTTGACCGCAAAATGGGCGGTTCACCGAATCAGAGGGGTGCGGGTGGGGGCTGGTGCTGTTTTCAAGAAGATCATTTGATAATTTGGGTGATCAGCTGCTCTCTAGTCCTTTTTGCTATGTGTAGAATTGGGACGAATGAAAAGATGAATTCTAATTCACTGTTCTCTGTGTCAATCAGTGGGTAATCCGCCACTGAAGCAAACAGGGACGGTTCCAGAGGGAGGGGTCGACCCCCTCCCCCCCCCTGCTCAGCTACATAACTTTTTTTGTAAATGAACACAAAAGTTATTTTTAGTCTTTCTCTCCCTTTCCCTTTTTCATGGCGATTTTTGTTGACTTTTTGGTGTAGAATCGAAGAAAAGAGTTTGAAAATACATTTTCTACCAGGTTTTGGTGAATATTCATGATTTTGAGGCGGAAGGATACAAGAGTTGAGAGGTTGGTTAGGCTGAAATGTAGGGTCCAAAATTGCATGTTTTTTGTCTCTACTTCCAGCTTGTGTATCTCAAGTTTTCCATGGTGAACCTCATACGTGCTTTTGGGCAAGAGGTTGCCACATGTTGCTCCATCTGTGGTAGAAAGCGTTCTACCCAACGAAAATTTGGGAAAAAGTTAGAGCCGGTCTAAGAGACGAGAATTAACAATGGCATAGATATACTAATAATAAGTCTATGGGCGGGGATAAGTTGTGCCGTGCCCGCTACAACGTGGACCCGGTGCCCCCGTGGGAGTATACATGAAATAGACTTAGTTTATTTGATAGAAAAATCTTTGGATGGATTTTATTTTCAGATTAACATAATGTATAAATTTGACAATTTCGTTTCATGTTCATTAACCGGACAATCACTAATTTTAGAAACGGGTAATGACCTTTGACCGTAGAATGGTGAAAGTTGAACAACGGGACAACGGGTTGATGTCGTTTGAAGCGGCGTGTTCAGTTTAACATGATAATAATACATACGTATTGTGCATTAAGAGATGTTATAGGTGAAATTACGAGCAAAGTGCATCAAATTTTATTTTCCTTCAATGCATATTATTCACGCCTAAAATACAGTTCTTGGAAGATCTTGATCTAGCTAAAGTGTGAAGGAAGAGTGAAGCAAAATTGATAACATTTTTCATCAAACAACGATTGATTATTGATATTCATAACATTTCTGCCACATTCAACTAATCCTACCTGACACAGGTACAAATCATGTCTTTTTAAATCGAAGCGATCATACCCTGGCTCTCCAACATTTTAAATTTGACGTCATGAAGGCGGGGCGTCGTGTACAACGTACAGCTGATGAGTATGAGTTGTGCAGGAATAATACACCGTAGCCTAATATGAATGTCTGTATCAATTTTGATAAAGACAACGACAACACTTGATTTAATTTATTGACAATATTTGACATTAAAAAACCCAAAGTTGTTTCACTAGAGTGGGTGCGTAATGCGTATAGTATAAAATAAACTTATTTTCAAAATGTTACATGCAGCTCTACCCCTGCTCTACCCTAATTCACAATCCTTCTAAATATGCCCCACCCCTGTTTACATCGTGTGACCTTGAGTAAATATGCATTTGACCTTGTCAATTAGATCAGACCATACATAATGAGTTAATAGAGTACTAGACTTGCTGAAAAACTGCTTAAAGGCACCAGACATCCTAGGTGGGTGTTCAGAAATTTTGATGGGTGGGGTCAACCTCCAGTAAGTGGACGTGGGGACTGGGAGATTACGGTACCCAAGAATTTGATAAAATCAGAAAAAAATTGCCTCTACATGTTTGTTTGTTATTTTGTTAAATGTTGGAGAAAGCTCTACTTGAGCAGGATCTAGAGGGTTAAAGGTTGTTCAGCTTTGAACGTAGGTCTCCTTCCACATGTGACTTTTACGTTGAGGAACTATCTTTGTTGCAATTTTGTTGTCCTCCCTATCATATTTACTAGGTAACATTTTATGGTCACGTATCAGTCCTGTCAACACCCATGCAATGTAAAGAAACATTTCAATTAGAAAATTAGACCTGACTTACCTTGCTTGAGCCAGTACATGTTATGTGTGACACATAAGAAAACAACGCACAAATTTAAGAACGCACAAATTTAAGAACGTCAGTAAGACGAAATGAAAGTTAGGTAATCAGGTAACAATATTATAATTTTCGAAAAAAAAAATTAGTCTGTTTTAGTTTTAAAAGTTAGGCAAAGCAAAATATGACTGAACATTCTAATTTTTTTCAAAGATTATAATTTTTCTTCCTCGGGTTACCTAAATTTTATACTCCCTGGTCAATGTTGGCACGCATGTAAAAGGACCCTTGACGCTGTTTAGGCAAAAATATTTCTTTAAAAACGGGGGGGGGTTGGATGGCCAAATGGTTAGCATGAATCATAAGGCTTGTCATTGAGTCAACTGGCATGGTTTCGATTTCCCGGTTGTACGTGACAAGTAGTAGGGTCGCGTGTCCAACCTCTCTCAAAGCACACTGCATGGCAGGTGCCTGTCTTCATTAACTCCATAATTGTTGCAGAACAGTAGGATGTTAAGCCCTATTTCATTTTCATTTTAATTGGCCGATTTTATCATCTTTAATTTCTTGCTCCTGTTTCAAGATAAATGAAAAATATTTGAAATACAAAATGTAGGTAGTGGTTCCATTCCATAGCATAAACTATTAATAACACATGACACAATTATGTGGAATACAAGTTACTTGGAGATGTGGCAGTCAATCTCATCTCTCTTCAAGTAACTTGTATTCCATATAATTGTGTCATGTGTTATTCTCATCCAGTAACTAAATGCCGCTTAAACAATAAATTAGTAATTTTGGTTTAAATTTTATTTACAGACATCAAAATGTGGTTGCATTCCATAGGATGAAGACGAAAGACATATTTTGATATGATAAAAATGAAAGGCCTTTCTTCGTTTATCTCTGGCAAAACAACCTCGAGCAGTGAGTCAGATAAATTTAACTCACTTGGTGGGATGAAGAAGAAGAAGAAAAAAAGTAAAATGAACCTGAAAAATCGGTTAGAGACATTTTTTGCATCAATTGGTAAAGAGAAACAATTGTCTTTAAATCATGGAGTCAGTGTTGATTACCATGATGATGCTGATGATGGTAGCACAAAAAATGGCACCGAAACACAACATGTTGTCAAATTTGAGCAGTTAATAACTCATACAAGACTGAATAAAACCAATGGACAAGTCAAAACATTGAAAAATAAGATAAAAACAAAAAATTGTGAGATGGAAGAGACAGTATTTGAAGAGATTTCTGCTTCTCTGAGAACCAAGGCCATTGCATTTGTTAAAACAAGAAAAAGGAAGAAAAAATCCAAAAACAGTGGATTCAAAGAGACAGTATTTGAATCTGTTAGTTGTCCTGATGAATGTAGAGAAACAATTGTTTCGAATGACGTTACAGTTGTTAAAACAAAAAAAAGGAAGAAAAAATCCAAAAATGATGCAACACCAGTTTCTGCTCAAACTGGGTTAAAGTCTGTGCAAACTGGGTTAAAATGTGATACGAAAAAAACAGTTTCTGCTCAAACTGACAGACAGTGTGATTCTAACGAAACTATTTCTCCGCAAACTGGGGTAAAATGTGATTCTAACAAAATCATTCAACTTAAAAGTGAAACAGATTCAGAGTTAATCAAGACTAAAAAGAGAAAGAAGAGACTTAAACTTAAACGCAAACATTCCGTAGAAAAAGAAAGGACATCAGAATTAAAATTGGATAAATTAGACAGTGGTATAATTAGTATGCAGAAAAATAACGCTGAATGTAATTTTGTTCCGTTACCGTCTGATTTATCGGTGGATGAAGAATTGGGTAAATATTGGCATCAAAGATACCGACTCTTTTCACGTTTTGACGAGGGAATAGTGTTAGATAGAGAGAGCTGGTTTTCCGTCACACCCGAGAAAATCGCGAAACATATTGCGGAGAGATGTCGATGTGATCTGATAATAGATGCTTTTTGCGGGGCAGGGGGTAATACTATACAATTTGCGTTTTACTGCGAGCGTGTTATCGCGATTGATCTGGATCCTGTGAAAATAGATCTAGCCAGACGTAACGCTTGTGTTTATGGGGTGGAAGACCGGATTCAATTTATCATAGGTGATTATTTGACGCTGGCTCCGTCTCTCAAGGCAGACGTGGTATTTTTAAGTCCCCCATGGGGAGGACCGGATTATCTGTATGCCAATACTTACAATTTAGAGAACATGGGTGGTCTGAACTGTCATGAAATTTTTGCGAAGACAAAGAAAATTTGTGAAAATATTGCTTTTTTCGTTCCTCGAAATACGAACTTAGATCAGTTAGCGTTATTAGCTGGTCCTGGAGGAAAAGTGGAAGTTGAAAATAATATCGTGAACAAAAAAATAAAAACTCTTACAGCATATTATGGTGAACTTTGTATAGAATAAGCATGGTTTTTAAGATAATCTTGAAATGAAATGGGGTTTAATGATATCCCCAGTGGTAGCGTTCCGTCGACTCCACCTGGGTCCATTTACAGGTTTTCACTAGATGCTGTTCTTTGACAAGGGGAAACCACTCTGAACAAGCCTGAGATACACCAGGATTGAACTTGGTACTCCTGGTCAGTGAGCCAGCATTTGACTGAGTCACTAAGACTCAGTATGAGGTGGATCAGAGAATATTTGTGTTATAAAGTTGTCAGGGTGTATGCCTATTTATACCTAGTGATGGCTGTATGGGTTGTGTATGACTCAGAATTGGCCCCAAATTGTAATATTTCGCCATGCTATCATGGGGGGCTATGTATAGTGTGTGCCCTTTAGTTCATTAGGTTTGTGTCATTGAGTCAAATGGTGAGTCTTTAATCCCAGGGTCACCTGCTGGGTTTTCTTTTCTCCAGGTGCCCCACTGCTAAGGACGTCTAGACACAAGCTTAATATTTTGGTCCCAAAATGACCTTGTTTGTGTCAAGTAGACATCTTGAAATTAAGATGGTGTTCCAACCGCATTTAGTGACCTGTGTATTTACATTGAGAAGATTATGCTTTAAACATGGGGATTATAGACTTTTGATTCTTTGATGGTACTGTAAATATTTTTTGACGGTACAATCATGTCCACTTTGTGAAATCTGTTTTAATAAAATAATCATGCAATAAGTAGGCCTGTTGTTTTTTTGTCAATTTTATTTTTAGGTGTGCACCTATTGAAATGTGGTTGTACATTATGTTCATGAGCCTCTTGATTTTCAACAATAACTGTATTTAATTCAGAGTTATTGCCCTTGATTACTTGGGATGTTTTCCAAGACAGCAAACTGCACGTAGCGATCCATCTACATCATACGTCATTATGATCACTGCCCCAGTTAGCGGCCATTTAAAACTCTCACCATTTAAAACTCTCACGTGATCATTTTGGGGCGGGACTTATCGACTGGACTACAGCTTTGTGTACACAACAGAGTAAAAATAACCCGATCACGCACGTTTTATGTAAACACATGTCTTTAGCAAAATGTCAACTTCTGCCGATCCGGTAAAAGCGATGTATAATATGTGCTAATTGCAATACATTCTTTGCCATTGTAAACTGTCTTTAGGGTTTCAATCGGTTTATCTTTCAAAACAAGGTTAGATACTCCTAAATTTGTCTTCGCAAACAAAACCGCCTCTGTGAAATTACCTTTTATGGGCGCCGCCATATTGAATAATTAGAGGACAATTTTGTGATTCGGCTTTGATTAGTTTGACATCTTTTATACACACAGCGGCTAAATAAACATATTTAATTTCATTCAATATGACAATAGAAGAGAAATAAATACTTCTAAAAATTACTAAAAGCATACTCAGTGTTTTCGACTAAAATCGGCGACGTATGAATTAAAATGTCGGGAAATTAGCTTAGGGCCTGTTCTCAGGCGGAGCTAGCTGTAGACAGGCAGCCTAAGTTTAGGATGCCAAGACAGCGAAGTTTCTGCTGACTCTTCATCGAATTCCAACTGTCAAGGGTCCTTTTATATGCACACAAACATGTACTTGGGTCCTTGGTTTATTCGTTCCATCTGAACAACTGAATGGTGTTACTTGCCAAGCTCAACATCCTGCTCCACTGTTGAGGGTCAATCACAATGAAAAATCCAAAGGAACTTTCTCGACCAACTACGGGATCAAAATTGGGTGTCACTGATGCAAAACAGAGGGCCAGACAAGGCCAGCTGTCTCATTCATATGGTACGGAAAACTGAGGTCCGTATACACATTGGCGTACATGTAAAAAATCCCTTGACAGTTGGAATTTGATATAAGAGTAGGCCATAGTGCCGCTGTCCGGGCAAAATTTCCCTCATAGCACACTGTATGAGGGAAGAACAGGAGGACATTAAACCACATTTCACTTCAAAACTGGAACCTCCTGTTTGATAATGGGACTCCATAAAAATATAACACCATCAAGGAAATATCTAATGAAATAGATGTATTTAATTTTCTTGTATATACATGTATTTGCAATAAATTATATCATCTTTAAATCGGAAATATAAAACCACTTAAAGATACATTATGGGAGATTTTTATAGAGAGTTGGCCATTCTTGCTATAACAGTTCAAAAGTAGACGATGAAAGAAGAATATTTGCCTAGAAATGGTAGCTAATTGTGTCTTCACCTTCGCTGATCGTTTGATTGACAGGCGTTAACTCCACCTACATATCTCGATTATCAAGTAAAGTTTTCAATGGCATACCGAAATGCTTTACAGCGGCATCGCTAAGTACACTCTATCATTTAGCCTCGATCTAACTGACGTATTTTCATCAGGTTACCCCTTATTGGATTTAATCAATTAGTGAAATCCTATTTAAATCTGAGCTGTAGCCGAGCCATCCAGGGGTCTACCGAGTTGATTTTGGTCTTGTTGTTTAAATAAAGATCTAATTTATAATTTCTATAACATCTGAAGCCTAAATTAATCAGATTTAGCTCTTGCATAATGCATGTTTAAACTCCTATAGTACACTGTGTGTTTCTCAGATATCTGATTGATTTCTATTAAAGCTCAACATCTTTTTGTGGAAACAACATTAAAGGATTGTGGAAACAACATTGATTATTTAAGATACACTATGTAAGATTTAGATAAAGAGCTGTCCGTTCTTGCTATAATAAAATAGACAATTAAAAATTTATAAGTGTTTGAAGTTTTGACAAGAAATCACTGATTGTTAAGTACCAAATGAAATGAAATGAAATGGGGTTTAACGTCCTACTGTTCTGCTCCAAACTGGGCTAATGAAGACGGGCATGCGCCATATAGTGTGCTATGAGGGAAATTTTGCCCGGGCAATGGCGCTACGGCCTACTCTTATATCGAATTCAAACTGCCAAGGGACCTTTTACGTGCATGCAAATATGTACACAGGACCTTGCTTTATAGTCCCATCCAAACGACTAGACAGCTGTCCTTGTCAGGCCCTCCGTCCTGCATCAATGACAAGGGGAAACCACGCCGGAAAATCTGGATGAATTGTCAAGTATCATATTGCCAAGATAATAAATGAAGTCTCGGTTGTCAGCCCTTGCCACTCAGTGAAATGTTCAACTATTATGCATTGGTGACCTAATCCATTAAATTTTTATCACAACCTTCCGAAGAACTAGAGAGAGAGAGAGAAAGAGAGAGAGAGAGAAATGGGGTTTAACGTCCACTCAACACAATCTAGGTCATTTTGGGACTAACACATGGTTCGATTTTATTTCAATAATTCGCTTGCTCGTAGGGGTCTGAAATGTTATCTAAATTATTAATTAGCCATTAATTAACTTATCCAGACCATAATCAACTCTCGATGTCATCGCTAGCCTATGATATTTACTGAATAAGAATCCGATCTGCTGCTAAACGCTCATTGATGATTAAATAAAAAATGGATAATTCAGACTGTTTTTTATCGTACCGACTTTAGTAATGATGATCGAGGCTAGGCCTAAAATTCAATCGCTAAATTCTTGGTTCAGCAAATTCCCTTTAAATTATCTAGTTTTTAACTATTATAGTGAGAACTGCCAGCTCTTTATCTAATCTCCCATAATGTATCTTTAAATAGCATAATAACACTTCTTGTTGTAATTCAAGTCCCAGTAATGTTTCATATTATGTTAACATCCTAGAATTGTTATCTGTCAAATACTCTAGAAAGAGTATTCCTCATTCGGAGGTGTCTTTCAAAAATTCTTGATAAAATATTGATTTGTGATAAGTAAGGTGTTTGGAACAGAACTATGCTTGTTTTAATTTTCACATCCCTAGGACTATCGTGACTTTAATAATGTAATATTATGGTTAAATAAACAAAACAGAAATAAATACACAATTCATCTTACATAAAATACACAAATAAAAAATCACCGACAAAACACTGTGTATACTCCACACAAATTACTCATATCTCATATACAATCGACTGATTATAAATAATACAAACAGGCAATTATTGTTTTCAGAGTTCCAAAGGACATTACTTTATTCCACTTGCATGTATATGAGTACTTAATACTACACACATTATTTGGAATCCTGTAACCGGGCTAGTACTATGCTTAGATTAAGTAGTGAACCAAATTAAACAGGAGACCCTGAATGATCAGAAGTGAAATGGCATCATGTGGCTCAGTAGCAAACAGTAATGTAAGAGATATAATGGTGTGAATTAATTTTCATCAAAGAACTGTATGTGGTAGTCAATATTTACATGCTAAAGGTGGTACAACAATAATGTAGGTTTACTAAATATAACCATTCATATTTTGCTAAAGTTGAAAAGTTAAACGGAAGATTTTAATAATGTACACTTACTAAATCTAACCATTCATATTTTTCTAAAGTTGAAAAGTTAAACGGACGATTTTAACAGAAAAAAAAGATGCAGTGTTTTTTACTTGTGTGTAGTGCTCTACTTGAGAGTTCAACTTGAGAGCTCTACTTGACTCCGAAGAACGAAGAGTCACTGTGTTAAAGTTTTGACTCCGAAGAAACGGAGAGTCCCCATGTTAAAGACAAATGGCAGATTATCACGACTGGTGATATATATACATATAAATGACAAGATGACATACACAGTATAAAAATATAACATGATTATTTCCTTCCTTTCTTCCGTAAACTTTGACCTTGTCCAGAAAACGCTTCGAAATCTGTGTTAATCTGAAAGAGAAAAGCAACAATTGTCAACACTTGTAGGCATTCATTTTCAATTTTAATCCTCACCTCTGTTTGAAAGAAATCAAATCTGTTTTATAATATTTTCTTCACTTGCTGGAATTTTTTTATACCTCATCAAAAAAAGTCGTATTTAACAGTGGCTACAGTAACAAAGCTATAGGCTATAGTTTAGGACGGGCACTTGAGTTCACATTTGTATATGCTCACATTTTAAAGCAGTGGACACATTAGCCGAATCGTTCGGCACCGAATTTTATTCGGCCGAATGGGTGGACACACTAGCCGAATGCTTCGCCCGATTCAACCTGGCGATTGCATCACCTTTCACGTCACATGATTAAACATGGCGGCGTCTATGTCTTCAATCTATCACGTGACTTCTCGATATCAGTGGTGATTGGCTAATGAATTCTATATTCGGCCGAATGCTTTGGCGAAGCGGACACACCAGGCGAATATAATTCGGCCGAATATATCAACCCTGTTTGATTCGGGCGAATCATTAGGCCGAATGACAGTGGACACACTAGGCGAATTTTGACGCCGATTGATTCGGCCGAATCATTCGGCTAGTGTGTCCACCGCTTAAGATACCTTATGCAAGATTCAGATAGAAAGCTGACAGTTCTCACTATAAGAGTTTTAAAATAGATAATGAAAAAGGAAAATATTGAAATTTTCAGTCAAATTACTTCATTCGGAGCAAAGTTATGACTGTTTGAAGAACAGTTTGGTCTCAATTTCATTGATACCATTGTAACGATAATAAACAAATCTTGATAATCAACTTTTAAATCAAATTATTAAATGGTGATCTTGGTTCAATCAGTTCAAAATCACAACCATCCGATGATCTAGAGTGATGATTATAGGCTCCAATGTGAGTAAATAAATGTCTCATTAATAATATATATAATATTTGAGGTCAAAATAAAGACCTGAAATAGGCAGATTCATCACTTACATAATGCATCTTTAATATGGTTGGGAGGAATATATTTCTTTTCCCTTTTTCACATTCCCTAGTGATACATGTATTGATATAATTTTATAGATTTCAATCACATTTTCCCAGCTGATTGATGCTTACAAATTTCAAATACTTACATCATCATTATCTATTCCATTATTGATAGGTCTCTGGGTTCGTATAAACGTGACGGTCCCTATTTTATAATTGTAATTAGGTATACCCCTAAAATAACAAAATACTAGTATATAGAAATTGCTTAAACGTTACAAAGGTTATACTATACATCCTAAAAAAAAAAAAAAATTAATTCAAATTTTACACCTCCCCGAAAAAGTCTAAATTTTTCAGCAGTTTCTTCAGTGAAGATTTTTATCTGTACATTTTAATTTACTTTAACATTTTGAACCCTTTGGCTTATAATAATTTAAGATGATCTGAAAATAAATAAACTATTTTTACCTTCTTATTCCTTCATTTTCTAATCTGGATGGACAGCTTTGGGTTCCTTTTAATTTACCATCTAATCTGTTACCTTGTCCACTAAACGCCTGAAAATAAAAATAACCTAAATAATGTACAACCCAACAAGACATTTAATTCAAAACTATTTACAGCATGAAGACATTATATTAAAAGATAACTATTTCAAAAATATGTCTATTCGAAGTTGATTTATATTATTTTTCTTGAGTAATGTTAACAGTGCATTCATAACATCAGTCTAGATTACAGAGTAATGTTAACACATTCATTACATCAGTCTAGATTACTGATTAATGGTTTCACAGCTTTCACTAAATCCATAGGTTACTGAATAATGTTAACACATCATTCATTACAGCAGTCTAGATTATTCAGTAATGTTAAGGCTGCATTCATTACATCAATCTAGATTACCTAGTGATGTTAACATGACATCCATAGATTACTGAGTAATGTTAATACATCAGCCATTACATCAGCCTAAAATTTTGGGGATAACATGACATCCATTACATCCATAGTATATTGAGTAATGTTCACACAGCATCCATTACATCAGTCTAGATTACTGAGTAATGTTTTAAACACAACATCCATTACATCAGTCTAGATCATTGAGTAATGTTAACATTAAGCTGCAACACGCTTTTATTCAGTAGATAAAAGGTAAATATCATTTCAACTTACTCTGAAGGCCTCTGCTAGATCATCATCACCATCAATTAGCTACAACACAAAATGAAATAATAATTATTTAGTGTAGTGGTATCTATGGTTCGTAAATCCCCCTAATTCTCTTTACAGAAAATGGGATACTCTTCATAGGTCTTGTACTTTTATTGATGGAATCACAATATGTGACCCGCTCCCACAAAACCAGACGCTTGTTGCACAACTTTGTTTTGTACTACAGGCACAGCAGCATAAACTGTATGCCTTCTTGTTGCAGTGAATGAGCCGAAGTCCAGATGATATAACAAATTTAAAAAGAACTGCATTTTTGGAAAGCTCAGGCTGTGAACTATTCAAATATGCTGCCACCTTTATTTTCATAAAAATGACCAGGAGCCTGATTTTGTGGGAGCAGCTCACATATACATGTATAAAGCATACTGTTTACACATAGAGGAGACTGTCAACATGATCCAAGAAAAAAACAGATACCGGTACGTAGCAGAGTTATCAGACCGACATACAGGGGTTCATCTTTCATTTTAGACTGACTGTCAACAGCTCACTCTGTCACCTATAAGTTATTTGCATTGATGTTGAAGGGTTCTAGGGAACGGTACTTTCAGTCTGGTATAAAATATATCCCATTTCTCTAATATTATTTCAAGGAAACAGGGTAGGCCAAGTCAATATTTACATGTTAAACACCAATGAACAAGCTAGCACAATTAGGTTCTAATGTATTAAAGCCAAATGTACACTAGTTTAACAATAAACAAATGTACTCTTACTATCAATTATTGCAAAAAAACGTGAATTAAAATACTAACAAAATACATATTCCCTGTATCAAGTTACTAGAGCTTAAATTGTTTCAGTTGCATTTAGTAATTGATCTTTAAAAACACAGGTCACATTCATATGTTTCAACTAAGCAATAATAAAATCTAAAATGCGATAGGAAAATATATAGATGAAAAAAAAAACAATACTTGGTGAATAATGACTAATCTGCTGAGAATGTGCCACTAATAACTGGTAAAAAAATAAACACAACAGTTCTATGGATAACAATTACTGTATTTCTATTAAAGCTACGTTTCAAAAATGATTATCAAGCACAATACTGATACAGACAGAAGGAACTAAATATATATACCATGTACAATCTAATCATTCAATAAAACCATATAATTAGGAGAACAGTGACCTTTGATTATGATAATGAAACCATATGCAATAGCATAAACATCTAATCGTAATGTAATACAGTATTATGCTTGATAATGACAAGAAAATCATTGTTGAAACAGTAGCTTTAATAGAAACATAGTAATTGTTATCCATAGAACTGTTGTGTTTATTTTAATGAGTTCAATTACTAAATGCAACTGAAACAGTATAATAACAGATACATTGAAGGAAACCTAACCAGAGAATCACAGTTGAAACGCTGATCACTAATTATATTTCAATTACTATAGCCTACAGACCAACTATAATTCTAGATATGATTGAAGACTTACATCACTGTCTTCCTCTATATCTTGATGTTGTTGTTGTTTATAATCAGGTTCTTTATATCCAACAGGTGCTGCAAAATCAACCTTAAATAAAATTAATATATATTAGTTATGGCTCAATTTCTTTCTGGAAAACTGATGCTCAGTGAATATTGCCATATTTACAGGGAACTAAACAAGTCAAGTTCAATATATTTATTCGAATATCTAAATATATCCTCTTCTTAATAATAATATATTGATTCAAATAATAAATTTATCACCCAATAATACATTCTGCAGTAGATATCGCTTGTGTGATATATTTCATAATCTACTGCGATATCTGCTTAGGTCAGTTGAAAATAAAAAAAAAAAAATAGTTCCTTTTTGATTGATCAATCAAATTCATGTAAAGCGATATCTTCTATAGAATGTATCATTGGGTGATAGATTTGGTATAACACATATCAGTGATTCTCAACCAGTGTGCCGCGAGATCTTCCTAAGTGTGCCGAGAAATTTTGAACGGCATACTAAGAAAGTGTGAAAAACCATGTGATCCCAATTGAGTATTCACTGGTGTCTACTGATAAGTTCATAGCTGTGTTTTTCTTTATTTAGTTTGAGTCATTCTATATGTCTATGACTAGCCTCTGTCTACGGTTGTATTCTGTCTGATTTACCATGTTTTTATTTTGCAAAATTCAAATATTTTTCATATATATTTAGCCAGGTGTGCCACTATTTTTTCATATGTTCCAAGGTGTGTCGTTGGCAAAAAAAAGGTTAAGAACCACTGCCATTAATTGCCAACAAATAACTACAGATATTAACCAAGACCTTGGTTTTTCATCCCCTCCTGACAAGAGGTGGGGGGACCATGCTGGAAAAGACTTAGAAACGTCACAGCAAACACCTGGAACGAACTAGGAACTTCCTGGTTAATGAACCAACACCTTACTCACTGAGCCACAGTGGCTCCTTCATGAACTACAATACCATGATATTGACAATTTATACCCAGAGTGTGTCAATAACATATGCGAAGTGTCACCGTAGGTGTGTATAAAAACACATTTATTAGAAACTTACGTTCATATCGCACTCTATTATAGATACAGCATTCCCCGGTTTGGTTTCTAAAACACACAATTCATAGACCTGGAATATAAACAACACGAATATCTCAGTAATTCATGGTAGTATGAAAATATATCATTAACATCCCACATTTCTTAACCACCAGGCTGGTGAAGATGACTGGAAAGCATCTTCATCGAAATTCAAATTGTCAATGGTTCTTTTATGTGCATGCCTATGAGCACATGGATGGATCTTAGTTTATCACCCGGTGGATAAGTGGATAAGATGCTGGCTCGCTAGCCTGGAGGTCGGGTGTTCGATCCCTGCATCGGCCGAGAAAGTTCATCAGGATTTTCCGACGTGGTTTCCTCTTGTCAGTGGTGCAGGACGAAGGGCCTGACAAGGACAGTTGTCTAATCGTTCGGATGGGACAAAAAATCTAGGTCCTATGTAGACATTGGTATTCGATAATAGAATCCTACTGTTCTGCTCCTAAACTGGGCTAATGAAGACAGGCATACGCCATACAGTGTGCTATGAGGGAAATTTTGGCCGGGCAGAGGCGCTACGGCCTACTCTTATATCGAATTCCACTAAAACAATTAAACTGATGTTTCCATCCTGGAATTCAAGGCCACAATGACTGTAACATTCAAAGTCAGAGTCGTGCAAATCTTGGGTTGGACCCCCATGATGATCCCAAGCATCACCTGCATTCCATGCGGTAGCTATTGGTGCGTTTGGGCGTCACATGTAACTGGAAATGTTTCTTCTGTTAGGTTCTATAGTGACTTTTTTCGTAGTCATTTGCATATTTTAGTATTATGCCCCCAAAATCAAATATCCCCTACTTTTTTTGAATAGTATATTATGGTATTATCTATTATAGTACCGTATTATGCAATATTTATGTTAATAAATATCATTTCGTACATGTAATAAATAGTATGTTTTTTTGGCCGTTACGACCAATTTGTATGGCCGTTATGACCAATTTGTATGGCCGTTACGACCACATTTTTTGGCCGTTATGACCAAATTTTTTGGCCGTTATGACCAATTATTTTGGCTGTTATGGTTTAGGGCCGTTATGTCTATACCCCTCTTCATTAGCTCATTAGCCTGGAGGCTGAGTGTTCGATCCCTGCATCGGCCGAGAAAGTTCATCAGGATTTTCCGACGTGGTTTCCTCTTGTCAGTGGTGCAGGACGGAGGGCCTGACAAGGACAGTTGTCTAGTCGTTCGGATGGGACAAAAAATCTAGGTCCTATGTAGACATTGGTATTCGATAATAGAATCCTACAGTTCTGCTCCTAAACTGGGCTAATGAAGACAGGCATACGCCATACAGTGTGCTATGAGGGAAATTTTGGCAGGGCAGAGGCGCTACGGCCTACTCTTATATCGAATTCCAACTGCCAAGGGATCTTTTACGTGCACGGCACCTCGGTTTATCGTCCGATCCGAACGACTAGACAGCTGTCCTTGTCAGCCCCTCCGTCCTGCATCACTGACAAGGGGAAACCACGCCGGAAAATCTGGATGAACTTTCTCGGCCAATGCAGGGATCGAACACCCGACCTCCAGGCTAGTGAGCCAGCGTCTTACCCACTTAGCCACGTGATCCCACAAATTCAACAAACAATGAATTCATCTTCGGAGAATTTTACATTGTCCATCGTTACAAACGTTACCAGCACCGACTCACCTTATCATTATATTTGATAGCTATTACATCTGTCTTCGTTAAACACGCAAAATTCCGTAAACCATTTTCCAATCTGGTTTGTTACTAAGGAATAAAAACTGAACAATACCTCAATATACAAAAATGATAAAAAACCTTCTAGAAACGATAATCTGTAAACCTGAATATATTTTTTGTATGGCCTTATAGTCCCGCATGGTCAGTATTTACATCAGATTATTCAGTTTTATAAGATAGTTTACCAGACAATGAAACATACACCAACAGCAGTTGACAAGTTGTTGTATACTGCCTTTTTGTAGGTAATGGGAGCATTTACAAGAAACTTATCTGATATCAATTTAATATAGATCTATGAGAACTTTTGTCGTTTGAGTGTTCACAGGGTTCTACAAATTGAAACAAGGGCCATAAGTAATTGACGGAAATGTAATTAAATGTAGTCCACAGATCTAGAGTGCTCATAAGACAGACAGACAGTTAGACACCAAATTCTACGCGGGCGTATAAAAAGGATACACTGCTTTCGGGTTTGTGATATCGAGAAAGTCGACTGATTGTGGTTGAAATTTGGCAAACGTTGCAACAGACAGGGAAACATTTTCTATTTGAACCAATCCTCCTTCATCTAATAACAAATTCTGCATCATCTGTTTAAGAACAACATTTAAATATAAAAGAAATATTAAGATCATCAATTAACTAAAATTGCATCACAAACAGGACTCTTTCCTAAAAACGACAAATAAATCTTGGTACATGTATAATAATTATTATATTAAAGATGGGTTCCCGCGTACAAACTGGGTGATTTAATGGTATATATGGACTAAAAACATATTCAAACTTGTCATAACTTTAATTTGTCATAACTTTGTTTCAAATCCAACTCAAACATTGTAATTGCGAAGGGGCCCTGCTATAAAAATTTGATCAAACCTAGGGTTACCAGATTAATCATTGAATAAACCGGGACATTTATTATTCTGAGCAGACTAAAGCTAAATTCGGCACCGAGTGCCACAGGGCGCTACAAAATGAGCGCCCAGTGGGCGCGATACATTGAGCGCCAGAGGCGCGAACTTACTAGGGGGCTTTGAGGGCATGACCCCTCAGAAATTTTTTCATTTCTAGAAGCCGGGAGATGCGTTTTCAGCCGTTTTGTGGCGGTGGTTACACTAAAAATATATGTTGTTGAATGGGTTATTGACGGGCATTATTTCGATGGTCACATGTTAGTAATATTTGTAGGAGCCCGTCCGTAATTTTGCCATGATATCCATACCTGTTTTGTATGTTTTTTGTTGTTTTCTTGGAACGTACATTTTTTGAAGATCTCATTGAAAACTACACATACAACGTTTATATTTCACAAGCAATGTGTTCTTGAATTTGTGACCAGTATTCAAATTAACACTGATTGGCAGGTGGACAGTGCTCCTATGGTAATTTTTCTTTGATATAGACGTCAAAAATTTGACAATCGTACAATTTGAAATAATAAAATTTGGTAAGTAAATATGATTTTAATCGCTAAGTAATAATAAGAGGAATTATAGATGAAATACAATAAAAATCATATTATTGTATCATATATACCCAAGATCATACGTCAATTTCTATAAAGCCAATCACATTGTAATTCCAGTTTTAGGCCTGTATTATGCACATTCGGCACACCTGAACTATATTTAGATCAGAAGTGGTGTGCTGTCGTGCTGAAGTAAGAGTGTTTGTAGCAAACGCTGTTTTTTTACATTAATAATCACTAGTTTATGTGTTATGTGTTATTATTTTCAATTGAAAAACACCTGATTTGAAAACCGGGACATTTAGGCACGTGAGAAGCCTCGGGACGGGACGACAAAAAGGACCCCAAAAACCGGGACGTAAGGCAACCCTAATCAAACCAGGTCATGTTTACGTCACGTGACTTACCTCTCTTGGAAGTCACAGGAGAATTCATTGCATACATAAGACAATGTTGTCTTTAATCGCTTACTATTTATTACAAATATCGAATCCTAATTAAATTCTCGGATTATCCACTACCCGCGTCTTTTTCCGTCATTTTTATCTCAGAAAGTGTTGTACGTCTAACTCTTCATAAAGTTTATCAACTTGTACATCAAGCGCTCAATGTTGATGTCAAAGGTCACACGCGTGCAGAAATTCCTAATCGTTGGGCTGTTGATTAGGGGAGCCCTTATATTTTTGTCCTGTTTACGCTCCATGAGTGTTTTTCGGGGAATCCAGTATTTTTCTAGTAACATTGGATATCTCTACTTTCCATATATACCAAAATAGCCATACTTTTATTGGAAATAACCACCCAATAAATACTTTTCTGGGAACCCATCTTTAATGAAATATTCTGTTTTAGTTTTAGTTGTTGAAATATTAATTCTTGGTTACATGTATATATTGACAATCAAAATTTATAACTTAAATCTAGAATTAATAATCTCTATAATGGGGAGAACAAATTCTGTTTAATTATAATTCAAGGTGATAAATTTAAGGTTGTTAATAATCTCTACAATGGGGAGAATAAATTCTGTTTAATCATATCTTAAAGTGATAAATTTTAGATTGTTAGAATCCAGAAGACTTACCCAGTATGGAATATAGATTCTACCCTCATCAGCTACAAATTCAAGAACACCACAATGTGACTCACGGTTAGACTTTTTATTGGTTAATTTGAATAACATGGGATATTGTATGTTGAGACGAGCTGAAATAGAATATTTAAACAATTTTCAATTATAAAGCTTAAAATTACATTAAAAAAATTAGAATTCTCATTTTAGCAGTGGTATATTAAGCCTTTGAACTTGTCAATTAACTTGACAATATGTTCACAAGGTAAATGTTTTTTGGTTTCCATAAGATAGGGTTACATGTATCTTTATGAAAAGTCCAAACAATTTGTTGATAAAGTAAATGTTTTTTGGGGGTTTCCAGAAGATAGGACAAGTGAATATGATACTTACTAAGTTGATCTAAAGCGGACGGCGGCATGATAACTGAAATATAAAAACAAATTCGGTTAGAATAATAAATAATTGATTCACTGTTCAAATCTGTCAATACGAACTTACATATGGTGCAAATGTGACTATCATAAATTAAAAATAATATACATGTATATTCGATTTTTTTATCACACATTTAGAAAACAATAAATGTGTCTCATTTGTTTTCTTTTTGCAGTCTTAATTTGTTTCATGGGTATGGTGTCGAAAATTCTAATTGCTGTTAAATACAGACATGTGGTTTTCTTTTAAGCTAAAACAAAAAAAAAGAGAAACAAACTTTTTCCTCCCCTTTCTACATCTTCTCTGTCGCCTAGCATCGTTACAGAGTAACAACGGTATGTTGTCTGAAAGTTACGACCCATCTCTGGGAACATCTGACCAAATCCAAACTGAAAAGATTTAAATATAGGATGCCTTAAAAACATGTATATGGGACAACGTATAAGCTTAGTTATTCGGATGAGATAAAAAAAAACCAGGACCTGTGAACACATCGTTATTGGTGTGCATGAAAAAAAACCTTGAGAGTTGGAATTCGAAATAAAAGTAGGCTGTAGCGCCTGTAGCGCTGCTGTTCAGGACAAAGGTTTTCCCTCATAGCACACTGTGTGCCATATGCCTGTCTTCTAGCGGGATGTGGTCATAACGGCCTTATGTCATAACGACCAGAAAACAGGTTGTGTCAAAACGGCCATACTTTAGTCATAACGGCCAAACAGTTTTGGTCATAACGGCCAATAAATTTGGTCATAAAAATTTAGTCATAACGGCCAAACATTTTTAATTTAATGACAAACGATATAACTTTGATGTGGTGCTACATACATACCATGTGTCCTGGAGGCATAACAACCCAAGCCAACCTGGAAAATTGCATGCTGTTAAGTGTAATTGTAATTCAAGGGAAAGAGGTGAGTACTAATTAATCAACTGATTGGATAATCCCTAATTAGGTACTTCACACCCTCTGATCTGATTATGTGATATATGAGATAAACATTAATCATTTATTTGTGTATCAACTAAAGGTAAAAGAAATGGCAATCTCCAATTCATTCAGAGATAAATAATCCAGATAACCTAATTGGAGCGGCTAATAGAATAAGGGAAAAAAACATGTATTACGTTAGAAAATTTCTATGTTATATATTGTGATGAAAGTTATAATTACAAATTACAATATCATGTTACAATATTACAAAATTTGTAAAATTACAAAATATATTTTAGGTTAAGCTATATTTACAAATATATTTTATAGGTAAATGAAGATGCAATACCTGATGATTTTTTACCTGCCGATATAAAAGTTAAAGGAGAAAGACATGTTTTCAACCACAAGATAGTTGGCTTTGCTTGCTAAATCCAGGCAATGGTATATTGATGGGACTTTAAAATCGTGAAAAGGCCCTTTTATCAACACTGTAAATTATGTATTTAGATGTATTATGTATGTGAAATATTATTGAAATAAATTTTATAGTTTGTATGTTTTATACAATGTATTATGTATGTGAAATATTATAGTTTGTATTATGTTAAATGTCTATGTAAATTTACGTATTAAATTAATGTTTATGTAATGAGGGCCTATGTATTATCTATTATATTATGGTATTATCTATTATAGTACCGTATTATGCAATATTTATGTTAATAAATATCATTTCGTACATGTAATAAATAGTATGTTTTTTTGGCCGTTACGACCAATTTGTATGGCCGTTATGACCAATTTGTATGGCCGTTACGACCACATTTTTTGGCCGTTATGACCAAATTTTTTGGCCGTTATGACCAATTATTTTGGCTGTTATGGTTAAGGGCCGTTATGTCTATACCCCTCTTCATTAGCTCAGTTGTTCGCTCTGAAAAGAGGATGTTAAACCCTATTTCATTTCTCGCTGTAAAATAACTGTTTACAAACAATACACTGTTACAGTGACAGTCGGTTTATAAACACACCGATTGAGATCTCTGAAATGACACTAACAGGACTTCTACTCTTAATTTTAGTCTATATTCCCATGTTTTTTTAAAAAATTTATTGTGAGCTAATTCGTTCTATTTCTAATATCTATGTATCAATGTATGTAAATCTATAAATGTTACCTGCTAATCTAATCATTCGATTCAAAACTTACCATGTTCTTGTAATTTTCGTTGTCCTGTTGTGTTTCACTTTAAAATGTTCAGGGGGACGTAAATATATATATATTTAATCAAACGAAACCAATCATGAATCGGCAAAACTTATGGGTATTTTTCCGATTTACGTAGTGAAACAATCACCGAATAAGCTGAAAATAGATAATCGGAAGTTTACATATTATCAGACATGCGCAGATTGCAGTTCCGCAAATCGTATGATTTTGTTATAGTTTTTCTCATTGGCTTAACTGCAATCCTGCGACGAATCAGAACTCGCCACACGTAAATGTTAGGTGTTTTTATGTTGACAAATTTCCGCGCCATACATGAACCTCAAAAGCGATTTACTTACCGTAAAATGTTTGTAAAAGATTTTAAACGAGACTTTTACGATGCAGTTCAACATCAGGTACCTCCCCCATAAAATAAGATTATAAACAAATGTTTTTGTGCACTCTGACTTTGCAAACCGTACTATAAATGTGTCACTGACACTCACACTATTGTCACTATCATCTGAACCTGATCTTTAGAGAATCGTCTAGATAGACGCAAACTGAACCCATCACTTCCAGGACCCATTTTAATTCTCTTTCCGACACTCATAGAATTTGCTCCACCCCCTAATATGTCACATGATGGCCTATCTGTTAACTTGTTCTGCCAACCTACAATTACAAATAAAAAGACGCGGACATGGTTATTAATATTAAAGACTAGAGTAAATAACGTTTTGTGTTCGCATTCGGAAGGTCAAGTTTTTGGACTTGAGTCTGCAACAGTTGGGACTCGAGAATCAGAAACAATGGTGTACAAAATAGGCTGGTGTACAAAATAGGCTGCAGCACAAAAGAGTTCAATGTTTATTTTGTTCGTCATTTAATATTGTCTATTCTTATTCTTATTAAACCAAGTCTGAAACATCGTTAATATTGAGTCCAAACTTTCGATTGTGTGGAGTCCAAAAAAGGATCGCATGACCAACTCATTGTGATACCTTTTTAAATACATGTATGGTATAAACAGGATGTTCAGTATCAAAAGGACCGTTCAATTTAATGGATTTTATTTACATACGTATTTGTACATGTACTAACTCGATCTAATCTGACAGTGTGGTAATCTGACAATGAGGCATATCATATCGGTCTCAAAATGACTTCTGACTACCATTAAAGGAATTTTATGAGAAAAAAGATTTAATTTGATTGCATATTTAAATTTTTTTTTTTTTTTTCAGCGAGTATTGATTTTAGTATCGTTTGATGTTGATGCTCTTTGTGCTTGTAAAATATTACAGGTTAGTTAATTACATGGCTATAAATATACACAATGCATCTCTCTATGATCTCTTCTATATTTACATGTAGTAGGTGGCTCTCATATCAGTGAGTGTGGATGTGGTACTGGTTATGGACCTCACAGATCGATACATACATGTACCATGGTATCCTTTCTTTCCAAATTTTACTTATAAAATGAAAATGAGTACATGATATTTAATGGCAACACGTCACATGAGCAACAGCTTTTCCATCTGGCATTTTTGATCCAAAATGTTCTCATATCCTTGATTTGTGGTTCACTTGAGGCGACTGTTTCATTGTCGAAATCCATCTTTCCTCCTTGTCATGTGACCTACAGGTGGACATAATTTCATGATACTGATAGACGATAGTTGAGTATTGGAAGAAGACAGATGGTGGAAAAAATCTGTACAGTGTTTACTGAACAAAACCGTGGCATTTATACCGACCGTGGTATACATGTACCGTCTCACGGTATATCCTTGCAGCCCTAGTGGTGGCTCATCATTGGTTACGGCACTGGCTCACTGTATTGGCCCGAGGAAGTACCTCAGGGTTTTCAAGCTTGGTTTCCCAGTATCAGTGGAACGGGAGCATAGTCATACGTACCGCTGGCCTGGAGGTTGCGGGTTTGCCCCCGGTGTTGGCCAAGGAAGTTCATAGGTGCTGGACAGCTGTCTAGTCATTTGGATGGGACAAAAAATAACAAGGTCCCATGTACACAGTAACATCCATTTAATCGATCCCTTGGCAGTTGGAATTTGACATAAAAGTAGATCGTAGTGCCGATGTCCGTGCACACTCATGGTGTATGCCCATCTTCTTTAGCCCAATCAGAGCAGAACAGTAGGACGTTAAACCTCATTTCATTCCATTTCTGTACAGTGTACAAAATTTTTTTGAAGGGTGTTGATTTATATATTATTTATATTTTTCAGTATTTATTTCAATGTGATCAGATTCTGTATACAATTATACCAGTCACAGGCAAGGCAGAATTAGAACGAGCTTTTGTAGAAAATTCAGAAGGGGTGAGAATTTACTTTAAGTTATAAACAAGCCAACTTCTGCTCTACAGAAATGTCCACTGAAACATTATTTGCTAATTTAACTGTAGGGGTCCTCTGATGAAATCTGTTTTAGATTGATTTGAGCTTTTTATAGATGTCTAAATAACAGTTTATATAAAATTGTCCAGGAGAGCCAAAAATAACACAGAGGTTAAGAATCAAAATGTCTTATAAAACCGTCACGTCAAAATGTTGTATGTATAATGTCGTATTTCTGAAGCTTTTCTCAAATATTTATGTACAAAATGTATGTGTAGCCATTTAAACAGTATGTAACTATACGCGGATATCAAGTTCAACATCTAGTGCAGAAATATGGAGTGAAAGCTAGTTATTTTCAATTTTATACTGTAAAGACGTATCTCAGGAAAATATTCACCTTTAACGTATAATTTCAATAATACGTATTTAACCATAAAACAATATTGGCTAGATTTCATTTGATTGTAATGCTTTGGTTAGACACAAAGTTGATTTTTTCAAGAAAATACGACATTTTCGCTCTTAATAATTTTTTTTGGGGAACACCACATATACGACATTTTGAAACAGTATCTATAAAACATCTTTTTTTGGCTTAGAAATACGACAACCAGATGAAAAGATGCGCAAGAAAATTCTCATTCTGAAGAAGTAAAAAATGCATCTTTAATTGTTTTATATTTACAGATTAAACATGTGGTATTAATAAACTGTGGGGCATCATTAGATATCATAGAAGTTTTACAACCAGAAGAATATATTAAATTCTACATCTGTGATAGGTAGGCTTTGTCATCACTCTTGTTCATCATGCATCCAGTACACTTGAGGGGTATCAAGGAGTGACTTAGATCATAATGTCTGTCATTGAGTCAGCAGCATGGTTTCGAACCCAAGTTTGTAGGTGACAAGGAGTAGAGTCGTCTGATTAACCTCGTTGGTTTTATCTCCTTCCCCCCATTTTCCTCCCACTGCAAAAGTCTCCAGTCTAACCATAGAAATATCACTTATATGTTTGTCCCAAAATGAACAAAGTATTTTCTTGAAGAGATGTAAAGATCTCTTTGAACCTGTATTACCTTCAAGTTAAAATAACCGATGACCTTACATGGCCTTGTCTGATTATACATGTATTAACATTAACCCAAATTTGACCTTTGTCCTTACTGATATTGATCAAAATAGTCTTCATCTGACCCTGCGACCTGCAATGAACTAAACTGAAATGTCATTTGCTATTCTATGGTGCTCATCTGACCTTAACTAACCTATGACCTCATAACCTATATCGGCTATAAGCTATATCGATTTGATTAACTGACCAATGACCTGACCTATTATTTCAGTCATCGACCTGTAGATATACATAATGTATATAATGCTGTTCAAGTGAAACTGTTGATGAAACAAGAAGAATTAACAGATGTACCAGAATATGATATCGTCTTCCGAGATGAGGACGTGAGTAGAATAAATAAATAATGATTTTTCCAAGACCATTTAGGGTTATTTGAAACTTATATTTTTCCTTCCTTACAAATATCTTTAGAGTGTATACACTGATATTTTATTTGGTTATATTCCTGTTCTGTTTATAATTTCACGCATTATTCTACCATAGTAAGGACTTTTGCGCAGTTGTGTAGATTAAGCGTCCAGGTATTTTAGAAATTATGCAGTTACCGTAGTTGATTGTGTATTACCTACAGAATGCTAGCATCAGGTGCTATTGCAAGTTATTGCTATGGAACATAGTCTATTTTTAGCTGGTCACATCCATAAGTAACTCATTTGAGACACCTATCGTTATGGGAAATTTCATTGAATATTTGAGTTCTGCCTCTCTGGTCCAGTCTGTGAAAAACAGACAAAATCTATGAGATTAGTCCAGTATCCTGAAATAACTAGGTCATACAGAATTTATTGGTTTATTTCTTGGTAATTTCATAGATTACACTGGACAATGTTGTTATGACATTGTACATATGTTAACCCATTGTATGGGTATCTGATCATGATAAGGAATATTAATTTAGTCTCGATCACTCCAGACAATACTACTGTCTCCGTTCTAAATACCGATATTTGTTTTGACAAAATATAGCAGCCATTGTTTCTATGATAATTGACTGTCCGACTGTTCTCATGTACAGTTCTCTCAATAACATTATGAAAATGTTAATCACATGATCTGCATATTTGAAATACAAGGTGAAGGTTATTTTTCCTTTGAAGTAATCTAAGAATTACAAAATGCAAAGTAATACTGATTTCTTTTTGAAAATAGTCTGTTAAAGGGAAGTAACTGTTTTTTTTTATTTTAGTCTGATGATGATTCAGGTAACGAGAGTGATACGTCAGAAAGATCGGGTAAACGACGAAGATTTGATGACGAGGCTCTAGAGAGGAGACGTGAAAAAAGATTATGGTTAGAAAACAGGTTCGGTGATTAATTTTGATCCAAACAGTTATATATACCAAATGATTGACTCTGGGTCGCTAGTTTTGATCATTCTGTGTATAAATTGTATGTTCATTTTTAAACGGGTTGCTAGTATCGTTATTCTAGTCTATTAATCTGAAATTCTGACTGAAATAAAATAAATATTAATACAAATGTTTTACTTATTTCAGAAATAAAGTTTTATTTGATTATGACAAGTTCACATCATTTGGAACCTCGGTAAGTCACAGAAATTTTTTCAACATTATGAAAGAGCTAAATTTGCCTATTGCAGGTCTTTCTTTAGGCCTGAAATGTTATCTAAATTATTAATTAAACGTTAATTAACTGATCCAGGCCATAATCAACTCTCGATGGCATCAGATTTCTCCAATATTAAATAGATTCGAAAGGTTCCGCCATATTTTGATTTAATTTAAAAATGGAGGAGCAAGACTTAACTTTGAACAACCAGTACAGTGGTGGTTATTATTGCACACGTCTTGTCAAACCTTCAGAGGCTAATATCTTCTCTCGCAATAGAGTAATTTGAATGAAATTTTCATTTTACATTATCTATTTTTGAGCTATTATAACAAGAATGGCTAGCTCATTATCTAAATCTTACATAAGGCAACACAAATAAAATAACTTGTTTCTCGGGCACCGCCCGCACGCAAAATTGGTTGCGCGTGCAGTCTATTTATTAGTCTTGATGAAAAAAAATAAATATGTAACGCCCGCCCGCACATCGACAAGCAAGTCGTAAAAAAAATATCCCGCATGTACCTACATCCGCCATACATGTATATCTATTCAAATGTATTAAAACTGATTCAGATGAACATGCTGTTATTTTTATCCGAACAATGGCGAAGTTTGGCAGATTTGCCTTTTTTATTGATATCGAAAGAACCACCATTTTGTATCACGTGCTATTAATTACCTCCCCTGATAAACTAGAATTTGATTCGTGTTAAAAGTCATTGGCGACAATATTTCAATCATTCGATCGTAATCGGCTCATTATTGCCGGCTTCAGTCGGTCCTTGTTTGGAAAATCCTATTGATAAAATAATGAACCGTAGAACAGGTTAATTAATTATAGCTAAGAATACGATACGATGACGATACGATGACGATAGTCGTCATAATGCATACCTTAGAATCTGGGTCATTATTAGCACATTTACGGTAGTTTCGATAATCCGGAAAATAATAATTGGATTACCGATTTGATGGTTTTACTGACCAGTTGTTAGTTAGATTTAAATAGTCATTCAATATAAACACCGGATAGAACACCGAATATCCTGAGAAACACACCGAATATCCCAAGAAACAGTATTTCCGGCAATCTCCAATACCGATGACACGGTGTGACATGCATTGGTTGGAATTCGGTAAATAATTATAAATAAACCGGCGATACTAGATTTAGTTTTAAATACTGTTTACCATGATTATTATTTTTGATACACCTGGTGAAAGAGGCTTAGTTTTTAAAAATATTGTTGTCTTTATGGAGGGCTATTACATAGTCGTATGGAATTTTATTTTAAACCAATTTCAATTATGTGAATTAAATATGGAAAATTATTTTCCTTTCAGTCAGTGTTCAGTCTCAGTGTTTTAGTAGACTTGATTTTGGGTTTATGTTTTAAGTATGTACAATAAAGTTGAATATAACGGAAAGCAAAAACGTAAACAAGTAATGACTTTCTCATTTAAAAAAAAAAAAAAAGAAAGACCGCCCTCCCGCCCCAACAATTTTCAGCAATAGCCAAATTTTATTTTGCACCATCAATGAGTAAAAAAAAAAAAAGAAACCGCCCTCCCTCCCTACAGTTTCAGCTGTCAGTTGCCCGAGAAACAAGACATTTATTTTGTGTGGCCTAATGTGTCTTAAATCCATGGTCAAATACACTCATATTGATTATTTATCATATGATGACAACCAAACCAAGATATGACAACCAAACCAAGATATCATTAGTACATAATTTCCCACCTGGGTTTAATCCTGGTTAAAGATACAGGCTCCCCAAAAATTGCTGGCTTGTTTATATCATCCGCAGAGGTTGCAATATGTTCAATTCATCATATTGTAAATGGGGGGTTTAATGGCCGAATGGTTACTGCATGCACTTTGGATTAGAAGGCATGTCAATGAATCAAGTGGCGTGGTTTCGATTCCCCAGTTGTCTGTGACAAGGAGTAGGGTCATCTGTCCAACCTCCTTGGTTTGCACCGAGTCTTCCGATTTCCTCCCACTGCTAAAGACCCCTACGTGCAAGCGAATTATTGAAATAACATTGAACCATATGTTAGTCCCAAAATGACCTAGTTTGTGTCAAGTGGACGTTAAACCCTATTTCTCTCTCTCATATTGTAAATACTGAAATGCATTTACAAGGAATATTATGAGGAATGTTGAGATAGATACAGACTTTAACCTGTGTGAACTTTCCATATAGGATGATATTTGATAATTTCTGTTTATTTCAGTCCTCTTTAATTATGTTTGAGTTGGCATGGAAGATGTCGAAAGATACCAACGATCTTCTCTGGTAATATTTCTCATACTATACTATTCAAAAAAAGTAGGGGATATTTGATTTTTAAGTGTTATTAAAGTCACCTAATGAAACTGACGAAGAAACAAATGACAAAATGAAATGAAGTTCACATTCATCGATTTATTCCAAATGATCGTTAGACTAAGTAAGGCACAGACTGACCATTATAAGGGTAAAATGATACCCGGGGTCAAACAGCAAAGTTACCACAGCATCACAACCAAGTCAGTAACGGGTAAATCCTCCTCTGTTTGCCAAACAAGCATTGATCCGACGTGGCATACTCCTAATGAGACGTCTAAGGTCATTTTGGTCCAGATTGTCCCATTCCTGTTGCAACGCAACAGCAAGTTCTTGGACATTGGCAGGACGTTGTTGACGTTGACGTAACCTCTGTCCAAGCATGTCCCAGACATGCTCGATGGGGCAGAGGTCGGGACTCAGTGCTGGACAAGGTAATGTGGTGATGTTCTGTTGTTGGAGGTAACCTGTAACGATCCTGGCCCTGTGACATCTTGCGTTGTCATCCTGGAAGATGAAACGGCGGCCATGACGTCGTGCGAACGGCACAATATGGACTGCCAAGCTGTTGTCCCGGTAGTACTGGCCTGTAACACGCCCTGCAACAACATGTAAAGCCGTTCTTCCAGCAACAGTGATGCCTCCCCACACCATAACAGAACCACCCCCAAATCGATCATGTCTGATGACGTTAACGTCTTAGAAGCGCTCGTTTTGACGACGCCACACCCTCCTACGTCTGTCCAAAAAATCAACAGTGAACCTTGACTCATCTGAAAACATCACATTGGTCCAGCGTCGATTATCCCAGTGTTGACGATCCCTACACCAACGACGTCTTGCCTGAATGTGATGATCTCTCAAACAAGGGATCACTATCGGGCGCGCAGGTGACCCCTATGCAGTCGATTCCGAATCGTCTGGCCACTCACTCTCACACCAGTGTCTGTTTGAAGACGAGCGCTGATCTGATTTGCTGTGATGACACGATTTCTCAAGGCCAAGGTACGGATAAATCAATCCTGGGCTTGAGTTTTCGCCCTTGGTCGACCTGAGCGTGGTCTGTCCTGTACAGATTGTGTATCATGGTATCTGGACCATAGCCTGCTTATGACAGACTGAGAAACATTCATCGTCAGCGCCACAACCGCCTGTGTTGTGCCGATCTGTAGCATGCCAAGGGCACGTAACCTTTCATTTTGGGTAAGCCGACGCATATCAAAATTTGTTTTCTGGTCACTAAAACAATTAAACTGATGTTTCCACCCTGGAATTCAATGCCACAATGACTGTAACATTCAAAGTCAGAGTTGTGCAAATCTTGGGTTGGACCCCCATGATGATCCCAAGCATCACCTGCATTCCATGCGGTAGCTATTGGTGCGTTTGGGCGTCACATGTAACTGGAAATGTTTCTTCTGTTAGGTTCTATAGTGACTTTTTTCGTAGTCATTTGCATATTTTAGTATTATGCCCCCAAAATCAAATATCCCCTACTTTTTTTGAATAGTATATAATTATTTGTAATGGTTTAATATCAAGTCTGGAAAGTAAAGACATTATTTTATAACGTAACTGACAAAAATATAACTTTTTATATATTAATGCTTCATGTGAAATCAAACTGAAGGAAAAGGTCAGTGATAATTTCTGTGTATGAATACAGATAATTATTAAATAACATGTCTTAGAATGAAAGAGTGGGGGTCACAGTGGCGAAGTGGGTAAGATGCTGGATCGGTTGTCGGTTGTTCGATCCCTGCATTGGCCGAGAAAGTTCATCCATATTTTCCGACGTGGTTCCCCCTTGTCAGTGATGCTCGACGGAGGGCCCCGAAATAAACAGCTGTCTAGTCATTCGGATGGGATGAAAAACCGAGGTCCCCCGTGTACACATTGGCGTGCACGTAAAAGATCCCTTGACAGTTGGAATAAGAGTAGGCTGTAGTGCCGCTGTCCGAGCAAAATTTCTCTCATAGCACACTGTATGGCGTATGCCCGTCTGCATTAGCCCAATTCGGAGCAGAACAGCATTAAGTTAAACCCCATGTCATTTTATTTTATTTCAGTTAGAATCACATACAAGAAAAAAATAAAGCAAAGCCCAGGTATCGTCCTGATTGTTCTATGGGATTAGGAGTTGCGTTTTCTCACATGCTATATTATGTTTATATATTTATTAGGTTGGGTATTATTGGTGTAACAGATCAGTATATACATTATAAAACACCAAGAGATAAATATATGGAAGATGTTATGTCATTACAGTCACATGTATCAAGACATAATCACAGGTAAATATTTTTAGATTGTGGGTTTAGGATCCATTTCCAATATTACCAGTACTCCCCAATTGTCTTTTCCAGCAGCATTAATTACAGGGAAATCACACTGGGTATCATAAGGTACTATCTCGACCAACAAGTGTATCAAATCTTCCGGGTGAAGCCTAGATAAGCCCCAGGGCGGACATGCTGAAGAACTTTCATGGCCAACATCGGGATTGAACCCAGAACCCCTTTTCAATCAGGGGGGTTGGATGGCCGAATGGTTAGCATGTGCGTGCTGTATCATAAGGCCTGTCATTGAGTCAACTGGCGTGGTTTCGAATCCCCGGTTGTACGTGACAAGGATTAGGGTCGCCTGTCCAACCTCATGGGTTTTCTCTGGGTCCTCCGGTTTCCTCCCACTGCTAAAGACCCCTACGCGCATGCGAATTATTGAAATAAAGTTTAATAAAAACATATGTTAGTCCCAAAATGACCTAGTTTGTGTCGAGTGGACGTTAAACCCCATTTCTCTCTCTCTCTCCTTTTCAATCAGCGCACCATTCTTAATGAATTATTTTTTTCTTGTGTTTTAGAGGTGAGGATGAGGAGAATATAATATCTATCAACTGTTTACGTATTTTATTTGATGATGAACTACAATTATCACTATATCGTCACTGGTCTCTATTCGAGAGTTTATGTCACTCCGTCACTACAGCCTGTAAATTTAAAGTCTGGACTCTGAAGGGACAGAAGAGATTGTATGAGTTTTTAGCTGAAATGGGGTAGGTGATTATTACAATTTGTAGAGGGAACAGTGCTTTCTCAAAGTGTACAGGTCGGGTTGGTAGAATATGGAACAGGTTGGGTTGGTAGAATATGGAACATGACTTTCTGAGATGGCCCATAAGTGGTAGGGTTGTTTGTTTCGCTGAAAGAAAACATAATAAAGATATTATAAACTTTTTTGGAATAATACTGAATGTTTAAATTTAGATTTAGATTTAATGCTGTTACTTTAAAAGCATTCTTGGTGTTTTTTTATGTCTTTGTCATTTGTATGCATTATTGATACTTGGATCAAATCCTAGCAAATGTTGCCATTCTGATAATTTAATCAACCCCCACCAGACTTAACAATTGTAAATCATATAGATACTTTGATCAGACTTTACAATTGTAAATCATATTTATAATTTGATTAAACACTTAACAAACTTTAGAATCCATTAAAGTATTGATTGTTCTGTTTTTTGTCAGGTTACCATTAATACAGTGTAAACAGAAATACTCTGCCATGGATACAAGTTTAAAAGGAAATGTTAAAACATTGATACAGGAACACATGGCAAAATATGGGTAAATTATTTATTGTTTAATAGACTGGCGTCTAGATAATAGACCTTTTTTTTTTCTTTTTTTTTTAAATCAATAATCACTTTGTTTTTTGGGATGCGAGATTGTATAGGTGGATCTACCATTAATGATTGACACAGGACTTAATCTTTATGAGCAAGATTCTAAAGATTAATTTTGCAGCTTGAGAAAGTGGAGACTATAACCCATGATTGTTTGTCAGTATCTAGATGTTTTCATGTGTTCTTGAAATCAGTTCATATTATATTTTGTCATTAAAAGTTTTTTCATATTTTATTTTTTTTGTGTTTTGTATATTTATTTATTTTCATGTTTTATATATTTTATTATTTTAATTTGTTTTATAATTTGTTATTTACATATTTTATTATTTTCAGTTTGAGTATACAGGATGTTGTATTACCATCGTTCTATGCTCAGTATGGTTTTAAGAGTAAATTATCAGCAACAGATGTTGTCTATGCTACAGCCTCTATATTGGAAGCTATTGTAAGATGGTATTCTTCCAAATATGCTTACATTCTAAAAATAAATAAATAGATATTAAACATACATTATGCAAGAGCTAAATATGTCTATTGCAGGTCTTTCTTTAGGCCTAAAATGTTATCTAAATTATTAATTAGACATTAATTAACCTATCCAGACCATAATCAACTCTAGATGGCATCGCTAGCCTGCGATCTTTCGGGAATTATGAGCCGATTTACTGCATAACTTTCCTTCACGATTTAACGATTAAATAGATAATCGAGACTATGCTGTTTATCGTACTGACTTTAGTAATGATGATTGAGGCTGCGCGGAAATTTCAATCGCTTAGTTCTCAGTTCATAGTGGATCAATTTGAATGAAATTTTCAGCAAATTGCCTTTACATTATCTAGTTTTTAACTATTATAGTGAGAACTGCCAACTCGTTATCAAATCTCCCATAATGTATCTTTAATATTTATATTTGCAATATTAAATCTACTATAGAATTGCCTCCTACAAAATGAATCATCAAATTCTTTATAAAAGCTTTTTATAAATTTGTCATGTATTTGTTGGTGTGCACTTAAAAGAACACTTGACAATTTGAGTTAGATCAAGAGAAGGAGGAAATGCAGAGGTCTGGGTAATGATTCCTCGATCACTATGTTACCATGGTTCCTCCATTGTAGTGTTGTCATGATTACAAAATTCTTGATTTGAATAATCAGCTAACCAAGTATCGTATAAATTAGATGCCGTATAAATTCTATAATAATGTAGAATAAATGTTTCTTTTGTTGGCTAATTTCATTGTCGATACTGAGGTACAATGTTTTTTTTTCTTGTGATTGTTTGTTGATAAGTAATTTATAAAAATGAGGCGTGAATGGCTGCTTGTATATTATTTTAGTACATTTATTTGAGTTTGTGATGAAGAGATATTCAGATAAATTGTCAATAAACAACATGTACGAAGTTAACATTATCTTTAAGGACCTGGGTTGTTACAACATTGAATATTTGTGATATTGGTGAAATGTTAAATAGAATAATTATTAACAATATTTTTTGTTTGTTGACAGGAGAAAGGTAAATCATCGAATGATAATTTTCTTAATGCTTTAGATGTGTTAAATAGGTGAGTTGTAGTATGACATAAATATTCTGATATCAACAGTTAAAGCTGCTATCTAATTTCTTACAGCTATTAATACACTTTCACAAGAAAATTCCCTTCTTCTGGAAAAACTGTATCTCCTAAAATTCCAAATACATTGCACTGTATATAGTAGGGTAAATTGAAGTGCAATGTATCTACTCTTTGGAGATACACACATAACCTTTGAGAATTGGTTTCTCTGAATCCCTCAAACATCAATTGAGTGGACATGAAACTTGCATGCTAAAAACACATGGGCCAGCTATTTCGACCAATCACTATAATTGAATATTGTCAATGATTATGATATTATATCTAATAATCAGTTTAATTAAAACATTGTCAATGATTATAATACTGACTTGACCAATCATTGTAAGGGAAACATTGTCAAGGATTATGATACTGTCTTGACCAATCACTGTAAAGGAAACATAGTCAATGATTATGACACTGACTCGACCAATCACTTTAAGGGAAACATTGTCTTATTTTTATTTTTAACAGAGTGAATGTACCAATAATGGAAAAGGCGTTAGAGAATGCCAAGAAACAACTGATTGCCGTGGTGAACCAGGTACGAACATTCCTAGACATGCATCAAGTAATATCTGCTGGACCGTTTCTCTATGCCTTCATACAAGAGGTAAGTTAATGCATTCCTTGGACATGACATATACAGGATGGAGGGCCTGACAAGGACAGCTGTCTAGTCATTTGGATGAAACAAAAAACCAAGGTCCCGTGTACACATTGATGTGCACATAAAAGATCCCTTGACAGATGGAATTCGATATAAGAGTAGGCCGTAGTGCCACTGTCTAGGCAAAATTTCCCTCATAGCACACTGTAGGTCGTATGCCCGTCTTCATTAGCCCAGTTCAGAGCAAAACAGTAGGACGTTAAACCCTTTTCATTTTGGACTTGACATTAACGGTTGACTAATTAAACGACTCAAGGCAAAAGTTGGTGTGGAGCAACAGATATGTAACAGGCTTCTGGTTGGACAAGTGAAAACATTCACTCTGTGTAATATTAGGCAAGATTAATTCTTTTAGACTTCTGTCTTGGCTACATAGCGGCAACAGAAAACTGAGTCTTCTATTTTGATTAGCTGAGAACAATCTTTTCTTACAGTACATGTATTTCGATTGTAGATAACCTTTTGCAACATTTGTTAATGTTAACTTTTCACTGGAGAAAATAACTGTCAATTGTCATTCAAACATATTTTTGGGAATCTGAAGACCAGATTTGTAATGTGTGGTGTTTCCATGTTCGATGAACAGTGAGCATGCTGATGCTCGCACCATCGGCTGGTGCATAGATGAATGATATCATTACTATTTATTTGTATTAAAAAATATTATTGAAACTGGGTCGTTCCATGTCAAGTGGAATTTGTAAAATTTGATGTTGAATTCTTAATCTATATAATATTCTCTTACAAACCCCAAACTTTCAAGAATATTGTCCAACGCTAGACAATATAAAGTCATTACACCCAATTGAGTCATAGTTTCAAAACTTGCAAATGGGTTCCCCGATTCAAAAGGACATGTCTCAGCTAGAGTCATATAACTTAGCAGTTTTACATAAGTATGAATGTACTATAAAATATATTTTTTTAATAACATTCTGAGGGGGTCACCTGACATTATCTACCCCTAGACTACCCCTAGACTACCCCAATTATATCATTATCACCTTCGGACTACCCACGTTTCTACACTCTCAGATTACCCACCGTTCTACACTTGTTACATAATCACAGATTATCTGATGTTATAGACGCTTCCTGCCAACTTGACACCTGTTCGCTATCGACATCCCTGAAGTTCTTGGTCTATGTGATTATGTAACTTGCTGGCATGTTTTATTTAAACTTTCTTTGTCTGATTGGCATGTATCGAATGTTAAACCTGATACATGATACATCAGCCAGATGTCTAATAAGATTCCTTTGTCTGGAATGGTTTATAAACCTAGAGTACACACGAATCCAGAGAAAAGTCCGGCCAGACAGGCCACGCAGGTCTGGAGTTAAGACCGGACAACGGCCATGTAATGTAAGTTAGTTGGGAGTTGGCACGCTCGTGCCTAGCCGAGCTAGGGCCATGGCTCCCTCAATACAAATTAATTACGGAGTCTTAAGTTTTGTTTATAATATGTTAGAAGGAGCAGAGAATAAAAGTATTATAAAATGTTAAACTAGTCTTGTCATCTAGAACCTGATAGAAAGAAATACTGGCACACACTCTCACTTGACAGGGAATGTTCTGACTATAATAAAGTATAATATGTTGTAAATGATCTCCATGTTTATTTATACAGGGTATTGGTGATGTAAAGTATTTTTCTAAACCACAATGTTTAACACGATTAGCCAGGTTTACTCTTGAAGCTCATTGTTCTGTGGTAAGTTTATTTACAAACATTTTGTTAAATTGTTTCAATGGCATTTATTAATTAAGAGATTCAACTTTGACAATATTATAGTGTATTAGGGATTCAGAATCCTTCTGCAGCTTTAATATTTAAGTTTCTTTTATTTGAGAAGGGAGCCACAGTGACTTAGTAAGTAAGTCACCATGGTTGTATCAGAGTGTTGACTGAGAAAATACCTCCAGATTTTCCAATGTGATTGCGTTGCCCCATCATCAGTAGTCCAGGACCAAGGGCCTCACAGTGTTAAGTTGTCGATTGGGATGGAAAAATTAGGTTCCTTACCTGTACACGTTAGTGTGGACATATTGAACCCTCGGCAGTTATAATTTGAAATGTCCAGATACGATGTCCCTCATAACAGACTGCCCATCACCATTAGCCCAGTCGGTGCAGAAAAGTAGTTAAGCTCAATTTCATTTTTTGCTTGAGAATTTCTCCACATTATATCGCTATCATACATGTTTTTGTCTTTAATAGAGTCGAAGTAAAAGAGCGAAATCATTGCCATTGGTTCTTGGAGCTCCGTTAGATATTGAACAAGGTACAACTCTAGTTATTGGTATTCCACCTCTAGAACTTGATGATGAGAGAAAAAAGTAAGTTATCTACCCTTGTAACCTTGACCTCTTGTTATGACCCTGATTTTAACAATTTTGTAACATAAACCACCCTGTTAATATATCCATGGATTGCAATCTTCGAAAGATATTTTCACACAATTAGTGCTTAGTAGTGTGGCCTTATTTATTGAAATCACAATTTGTCTACACAACTGAACAACATTGCTACTTGTGCTTGTATAATAAGTGTAGAACAGTGGGTAGGTCCGAGAGTGTAGAAAAGTGGGTAATCCTTTAGTGTAGAACAGCGGGTTATCCGAGGGTGATAATCTATACTAATATTTGTGACTGTCGTTTGTCTGTCTGTTCGGGATTGGCGGCTACACTAGGTCTGCCCCGAGTCTGAAATTTGGGGTATAGGGGTAGCGCGGACCGGGGAGTAATATAGGCCAGGTGGCGTTAGTCTACCACTTCCGGTTTCGGAGTTATGACCCCCGAGCGAAGCCGGATATCCTGCTAGTGATATAATATAGTTGAGATAGTCTAACTAAGAGTAGATAATGATATAATTGGGGTAGCTCGAGAGTTGGTAATAGAAATAGCCTAGCAAGCCTTAACCTATATATTAATTATTTAATGTATTTTCTACAGTTTTTTTGGTAAAGCGTTTGAACAAGCAGCTGCCAGCACCAACTCTAGAACTTTACAGGATAATTTTGATTCTCACAGTAAGTTTTTCAATAATTCATTCAAGTTTGTTTTTTTTGTCCTTATTAACTCAGATAACAAATAAACACCTCCACACCTCCAGGACATTTCATCATGTTTATCAGTTGTGATGAGGCCTGGAATATCTGTTATCTGATTAGTGTATAAATCAGAACTTGTGAAATTAAAAAGGCCCCCTCGAGATTCATTATGTAAGAGCTAAATCTGCCTATTACAGGATTTTATTTGGGCTTCAAATGTTATATTAATTATTATTTAGACATTTATACACATGACACGTCTATAATCAACTCTCTAGAACATCAGATACCAGAGATTTAAATAGATTTGAACACTTGTGATATTTTAAAATTTAACGATAAAATGGATAATCAAGGCTAATATAAATCTTATATATATCTTATATAAATCTTATATTAGCCTTGCTAGGATAATGAATGATCTACACTACATATTCAAACACTTATAACTTCACTCACAATAATGTAATTTGAATGAAATTTTCAATATATATATCTATTTTTGAACTATTATAACAAGAACAACCAGCTCTTTATCCAAATCTTACATAATGCATTTTTAAATTCTGTGTTGTTTTTCTTACTTTAGTGATGGAGATGAAGACAGAAGATCGAAGTAAATTTTTTGACGCCTTAATCAGTTTATTACAGTAGACATTTGTTATCAGTTTTAATTTAAATCCTCTATGGTTGGTCACTCTCATGTTGTTAACAAATATTACCATGTCTCTCTCTCAAATCAGTAGGACTTTAAACTCCATTTCATTTTATTTCTCTCTCAAATCATCTCTGATCTCTCTCAGACTTCATAAAAATATTACCAAAATCAACATTATTAAAATCTTGTTAAATGTCATTTTTTTTATCATATTTCATTTCATCTTTTCCTGATGAGGTTCACTGACCAGATTTACTTTTATTTTGTACGCACGGTTTTCACTGTGATCTAACCTGGTAAACTATTCTAATATAAGCGTGATGTTTCTTCTGCTTTTCGGAATATTGTAGTTGGTAAGGGATTCGACAAACCTGAATTGCCGATGAGAGACAATAATAGAAGACAATTACTATATTTAGCATTTTGAAAAATATAAAAAAGATAAAAGATTTAGACTACTGATAGCAGACATAGACATTGGTAGATATTTATATTTAGAGTAGTGTGTTAGATATATGAGCACATGGCTACAGGTTAGATCCTGACCCTTGAGTTTTATAATTACACACCTTAATTCTATATTCATTTATTTAGATATTTATATTTTACAGTAGGACACGTCTAGTGGGCATGCCTGGACAAAAGGCACCTGTCTTAGACTTTAAGTACAAATTATCCCACAATGTATACATTCCTGGACATAAGATACCTGTTACAGACATTATTAAGTACGTATTATCACACAACCTTAATATTATAATATATACATACGCTATGTGATAATTTGTGTCTGACAAAGTCTGTGACTGGTGCCTTATGTCTAGGCTTGCTGGTGGGTCAGTTAGATTCGATCCTGTCCCTTGAGTTCTATAATCTTTGTTCATTTAATTAGGCTATCAATGAAAATATAGATTAACTTATTAATTAGAGATTTATATAAAGTGCTATATTTGTATATAGGGGAGTGGTGGTCGTGGGTATAGGGCTTTAGTACAATATGAACGGGTGTGTTATTCAGTTAAATAAAATTAATATTAAAAGATGACTGAGTAGAATTTAAGAATATAAAGAGTTTTATTGTCAGTTGAATAAGGTTTATATAATTGGGAGGGATGGGTTGGTAATCAGTGGATATCTATTGTAGTTTGTTTTTGAATACTTTAATTTCAAATTCAATAATATATCTATAATGGTGGTTTATTTTGCCATTATGATGTATAATATTAAAATACTGTATTTTTCTATATTGTCATCTTGTATCTATGTATATATTGTAAAATAGATAATAAAATTGTGTAATAAATTATCATGTAATGTATGTAAATAAATTATTTGTATATTTTAAGGGCTGTTTTGTGATTGGTTTTAATCGTACATGACAAGGAATAGGGTCGACTGCCTGACCTTGTGCATTTTCTTGGGGTACTCTGATTTGCTCCCACTACTTAAGACATCTACATCCAAGCAAATTGTTTACTGCTTTTCGGCGAGATAACGATCGGCGAATAACTATAGGCAATACGATCTGTGTTCTACTAATGCGCTCAGTGTTATAGCCAGTATTTTGTTGACAATTATTATGAGGTGGGATTGTGGAATTTTTACTGTAACCATAACATCCACTTCCCAATTATGACAATTTTCATCTGGTACTAAATCAAGTTTGTGCAAACATTTTTTCTTGGCACTATGTGAATTCGTGTGCCTCGATTTATAAGCTTACCGAAAATGTATACATGTAGTTTGTTTAGATAAGAGATACAAGATGAAAAAATGGGTTCCTAAGCTCGTTAGAAATCCTGGTTGCGGGCATATATCTGCGTAACTAATCAATTTGAAACTCTCAAATTTCGACAGATAACCAGTTGATAAGTTTCTGATTGACCTGGAGAGTTCCGACTTTAATTAGGTGTTATCTCCCTTGGATTGTACACGAATAAAATAAAATTGAGTATAACGTCCTACTTTCCTGCACCAATCGGGAGAGAGAGAGAAATGGAGTTTAACGTCCATTCGACACAAACTAGGTCATTTAAGGACTAACATATGCTTCAAAGCGCACGCACTAACCATTCGGTCACCCCCCCACCCTCCCAACCGGGATCAGGAAGACGTATTATAGTAATTGTGCCATGAGTGAATTTTTGTCCTTAAAGCTGCGTTTTCACCTACTTTTCTTCGAAACCCAACTGTCAAATGTTCTTTTATGTGCACGTGCACCCCAATATGAACACGGTACCTCGGATTTTCGTCCAATCCGAACGACTTGACTTTATACCTTGCCAACCAGTTTCAGATTATGGAACAAGCCAAAGGACGCACATCTTTGGTTGCAATTCTTGGCTGACCTTTTCTATGAAATGACAGATCAAATCATATGATCAGGGGCGCACAAGCATATATTTCCATGTATGTGTGTGTGTGTGAGTTGGGGGGGGGGGCATAAAACAATCGGCCCACTCAGCATTAGAAAATCAATTATTATCCCTAGTAGTTATCGAAAAGTAGTTAGTAAATATACCATTATGTAATTTTTAAATATTGATTTGTAGGCCTCATTTTGGTTTGACTGAATGTGTAAGAGACATCGGCAAACCGGTCCATTTTCCCGAAAATCCGACCCACTCGGCAAAAAAATTGGTCCTTTTGCCTATCTGGTCAAATTCTGCACAGCAACTATAATACCGTCTGTATTATCAGATGGTCAACATATCTGACCGCTGTCAATGGACTGTTTTTCCGATGAAGTTGATCATCCCCTGACCTTAGTCCACTATAAATAACCAATATATTTATGCTAGTATGTTTATAAATAGTGTTAGTATGTTACTCTTCAATTACTAAATGTCACTTAAAGAAGAAGTATGCTTATATTATGAATCATCAAGTAGGGGAGAGCGGGGATGGTTCGGACCAAGAAGGAGAGAGAGAGAGAGAGAGAGAGAGAGAGAGAGAGATGGGATTTAACGTCCATTCGATACAAACTAGGTAATTTCGGAACCAACATTTGGTTCAATTTTATTTCAATAAATCGCTTGCCCGTAGGGGTCTTAAGCAGTGGGAGAAAACCGGAGGACCCGGAGTAAACCCACGAGGGTGGACAGGCCACCCTACACCGGACAACTGGGAATCTAAACCACCCCAGTTGGCCATGTGTGCTTAAGATATTATTTTATATTGTGATCTGGTTCACTGTTACATTGATTTCACTGAATTGTCTCGATTTACCCCCACACCAACCTTTTACATATGCGTCAATTTATTCACTCACAAGTTCAGATGAGCCATACAACTCTTAAACGCCCGTTTGCTTCCTATGGACTTAATTAGCACTTTTTTCGTGATGAAATATTGAATAGAAAAACAATATCTGATAAGGAAGGTCAAAATTACTTTGAAAACGGATAAATGTGAAAGAAGATAACATTCGGTAAAAAGGATAAGCACGATATAATAAAATCGCTAAAGATAGCAGATTCATACAGAGAGGCCATGGCCGGCATTTTCTTAACCAATCTGTATAATAGTTAAAACATAGATAACGAAAGTAGAATTTCAATCAAATTGATCCACTCTGAACCGAGATATTAGCTTTTGAATTTTAGGCTAGCCTCGATCATCTTTACTAAAGTCGGTACTATAAAAAGACAGCCTCGATTATCCAATTTTACTTTTAATTATTTTTCAAAAAATGTATTCCAATCCACTAAATATCGCAGGCTAGCGATGGCATCGAAAGTTGATTATGGTCTGGGTAAGTTAATTAAACGCACATTATGCAAGAGCTAAATCTTCCTATTTGCAAGTCTTTCTTTAGGCCTGAAATGTTATCTAAATTATTAATTAGACATCAATTAACTTATCCAGACTATAATCAGCTCCCGATGTCATCGCTAGTCTGCGGATGTTATACTCTAATAGAAGACGACGAAGACTGGGACGATAACATACGACTGCTAAAACATGGAAATGAATGTTCATAACCAGACCGGCAACATAATATGTTTAGTTCTGCTATTAATTGAACAATTTGTCCAATCAGAAAAAAAAGACTACATGATTAGCCTTTAAGACAGGGGTGGTGACCAAACATCCCACTGTCCGAAACATCCCACTCTCCCCGCAACGCCCCAACCAGACTATAGGCATCACTCATCCGCCTGTCCATGTCATACAAATATCACATCGACGTTTTACATACATTCTTGTACATGTACATACATATATCAATTATAAATTACACAGGAAGTAGACTGTGTCATATACACACAGTCACTGTGACCTCATCAGGGGCGTGGTTACCCATGATTTTGCAAGAGCAACAAGATCCCGCCCGGGCACAAAAAAATAAATAAATACAAACATCTATGTGTGCGGGTAATATTGGGCTGTGTAGAACATGCTTGAGTCGATTTGTAGCATATCTGACCCACAGTATATGTTTGACACTGGTTGAGCATTATGATTATAATTATAATGTTGGGCTGTGTGGACACATGCTAGAGTAGATTTGTAGCATATCTGACCCACGGTATATGTTTGACACTGGTTGAGCATTATGTTTGTGATTATAATGTTGAAAACCGCATTGAAACCGCGTGATTTTTTGCCATTTGCGAGGGGGCACAAAAACTCAAGAGGACGCATAAACTCAAAACCATGACGCAAAGCGCGTCATTCCGTCCCTTCCACTTATCCCCTGGGCCTCGTTAGTATTGTTACGCGAATTCATTTTAGCTGGATTAGCATTACACTTTGCACCGACTTCATCAATTTGAAAGGCAGGACCTGGAAGCTATATACCCCTCCCTTGGAATCATCATTTTTCATAACCACTGGGCACCAGTGGATTGTCCAATCCACACCCACAAATAAATTTCTTCCATCATTTTGTTTTGGATAGAAGATTTATGAACACGGTTATCAGTCAATAAAAATGACGAATGTCGCCTTTAGCAATTATTTCACGCATATGAATGTTAAATCATGCAAATCATTAACCTCGATTTGTGAATTGGTTAAAGATACATTCTCACGAAAGCATTTAATTGGTGGTTATTTCCAACAGTATGGCAAATTTGGTATATTATATGAAAAGTATAGATGCCCAGTCGTACTAGAAAAATACTGATTACCCGACCCCCTCCCCACACACACACACCCACCAAAAAACCCCAACAAAAAACAAGACCCCAAAAAACAGAGCAAGCAATGGGCAAAAATGACAACCGCGCTGCTTATTGTCTGCCAGCTTGACTTAGGGTTCAGTTGTTATTTCTTGATCGAATGATTAGGCGACTTTTTGACCATTGAGAGGTGTAAACGTATAACAGGCTCCGAAATTAAACACCGGAAATGAAGTTGGCAGAAAATAATTCAAGAATTTATTAAGGCCTCAACATGTATGGTAAATGGACAGTAAGTAATGACATATACATTCTGAAAAATGGGCTCTCCCTCAATCAAGTTAGGTTCCAAGCATGGCTTCTAAAAATTTTTATTTTTTAGAGCTTGGGGTATCTCGTCATGAATACACAGTTTTGAGAGGGATTTGAAGAAAAAATTTGATAGATCAATTAGTTTAAATGTTTTTAGTTAAAATATATCATCAAATCACACAGCTTGTACGTGGGACGGTATCTTTAATGACGTGGGGACATTAATTAAAAACACGAGAAGCCATTTCTTTTTTTTACAAAATGTATTTCAATAATTCTCCTGTGCAACTTGACTCAATAGAGACTTTTGGCAAGGGTAAATTCTTGGTTCGTATCGCGTATCCGTATGGATTTTGCGTGTGACATCATCAATGTGTGTGTATTTCTCATACGTGATACGGAACACGGATACGGCAGCACGTATCGAACAGCTTTCATACGGAAAAGGTCCGTATAACATTGTCGTCTTTTTACTGTCTTTTTTGCTACTTTTAGACGCTGAAATGTTGTATCATAGCGTTTTTATGAATCTCTGTGTATCCTAGAACACGAAGGTTTCCCGTCTGTCTGCATGCTGGTTGATCTACGTGCTCAATTTAGGGGGTGGGACCTTACAAATTTAAACTTTCTGAAATGATACATAAGTGAAACCAAAGTCGACATTAATTATGTTTAATATCGAGCGACTTCACTCGCACCGAGAATTTGTAGGCTAGGCACTTGACTACAATCTGAT